GGTATTAAATAGATGTATGACCTGTCCCACAACTGGCTGATAAAGGTTCAGATAGATTAAATGACGTCACTGTCAGATAACGTAACAAAATCCGATATTTTGTTACCTTATTTGACTGTACAATTTGGTGGGACAGGCCCTTAATATATGTTCTTTCAGATTATGTTAAGTCAATCCGTTCAGTCCATTTTTTGTCCGCGTATACGAAGTCGCATGTAAAAACTAGTTGATAATATTAGTAAGATAAATACATTGTGATCTATTTTTTGTATAGATTTTTTTATGATTTATAATAACGCCATCTATTTTAAACATCTTAATATATTTGTTACAAGTTGTCGAAATCTGATATTTTCACCGTAATCAAAAACTTATACGAACCTAGTATCCTTACGCACACACCTTTGACTAAACTATCGCACAACTGTTGTGCGATTGTCGATTGTTTCGCAGCCTTCAACTGTTTAGTTGCACAACTAAACATCGAGTATTGTACCTCCATAAAGCTCATAGGAAAAAGAGACTAAGTTTTGCGATATATTAGTCAAATTTCGCGTAAGCTCTAAGAATTAATTTGATTATTTATTTATATCTCCTTAGTGACTGAACAAAGATACGGTTACGCATCTACGATTATATATTTTTACACATTATATATTACCATACTTTATACATAAATACTTCTTATCGATGCATTTATCTTAATTACAAGATTAACCTTAACTTATCATAAAAAACGATATTATACAATGTTGCATTATTTTAGGTATTCAACGCGATGTCTAAAATTTACATATATTTTTGAATTTATTTTACCGTGTTACTGTTAACTGCCGTGAGTTTCTACTGGCAATATATACTATTATAATAAAGCGTAAACACACACTTCTTTGTTGCCTAAGATGTCAGCAATCACAGCATATTTTCGAATAACTCTTTTTTTAAAAAAAGCCCTACACTTACGTCCCGCTTTAGGCTATATATTTTCACGCCGTTAAACTTAGGGGTAAATATTTTGAATAAAAACCATAATGTGGGAAAGAGACCACAAGTTGTTGCCGATATGAAGTAAGCAAGATTGCCATGGTTTGACATCATGTGATGTCATTTTGACATTTGTAATTGATAATATGACAAATGTGAACAATAAAATAAGATTTTTATAATTTTATGCGAATGAAGTCGCATGGAAACAGCTATTACTTGAATAAAAACATAAAGCCGTCCCTTTCATTAAAAAAATAGAGATAACATTACATTTAATACTAGCTGTTGCTCGCGACTTCGTTCCTGTGAAATAAAAGCAAAATAATGAAAAAACATAGTCTATGTTACTTACTAATAATAGCGTAGCTTTTTAATGGTGAAATTATTTTGAAAACGGCCCAGTAGTTTTTTTGAGTTATTTCAAAACATACAAGAAAAAAACAAAAAACCAAATCTTTCCTCTTTATAATATAAGATAGATAGATTTTATTTAATACAACGAGGCTAGATAGTTTCATTTTACGCTTATTTAATGGTGCGTAGTAACGTAGTAATATTTCAAGATAAACTTAGGGACTTCCTTAGTAATTATTTAACTCTAGTTATGAATAGTTATAGTCCAAAGTACAATGGTGGAAACTGGCGGTGGTCAACCTTCAAAGCTACAATCGTTTGAACATTTTGAAACGAGACGCGGAACAAAAATACATCGCAGCTTATAAATCTGTAATACGAATAAAAGTAGATTAGTGTTATACGGCTAGTTTATTTTTATTATGGTCCCTTCGTTTGCACTCACTGCTGTCTAATTAGTTATTTGTTAGAGGCGGAATTTGTCTCGTTACAATGAACAAGGCATTTTTTTTATGACATAAGGTAGCAAACGAGCAAGCGGCCACCTGAATCCACCGAAATGGAAAGCGACCGCTGCCCATAAACATCCGCAATTGCAGATGCGTTGCCTACCCTTAATTGATAGAGGAGGAGACGCACACAAAGGGGACATTTCCCCTTCCTATGCGTATCCTCCACCGTCAAATCCTCTTTTCCTTACCATCCTCTCCTCTTAAGAAAAGGATGGAAAGGGAAAGGGACTAAAAATTAGGACTCCGTCACCACACTCATCAGACGAAACGCGGAATTGCTTAAACTTCACGCCAGTTTTCTGTGTGGCCGTGGTATTACTTATTATTATTAAGAATTATTATAATTATTATTATTATTATTATTATTAAGAAGATGTTAAATCGGGTTCTACCACTATTAAATTGTTTCTAAAGTGAAACACTGCGCATTTCCGTGACTGTACATTTGTGAATATAGGCGACCCAATCGATTCGCGATCATAAGCTATATTGAGGTCAATTGGCAAATTTGCTTCAATCAGCAGTACAACTGCGCGTGGATTAACCAGTAACGTAACAACAATATCGGTTCCTTTGTGATTAAATTAACTCAAGTTCGTATTAATAACGAATTATTACTTTGACCCTTCTGATTATTCTAAAACTTTTGGTATATCGTATCTATATGTCTAGTAAAGGAATTCTGTAGATTTCTTTAACATGTTAAATCGTACCAAAGAAGCTTATTAAATTATAATATTACTAGCCTTTGACCGCGACTCCATCTGCGTGGAATAAACAAAACAATTTAGTAGCCAATGTGTTCTTCCAGACTATGTCCTACATGTATGGCAAACATCGAGATCCGTTCAGCAGTTGAATGGCAAACTCTAACAAACACCCATATAACTTTCGTTTATAGCGTAGTGATTTTCTGTGGCGAAGCGTGGAATTTAAAAAAAATGGTCGTCTATAACATTCCCGCGTGCATCTACTTTTTACCAGCTTTACTTTTTACCTTCCAGTCAAAGTCTCGTCCAAATCGATCCACCCGTTCAGGAGATAGCGATCAGGTCGCCATTTTGACAGCGCGGAATTAAAAAAAAAAAGTACCCCATAATATGCTCGTCTATGTCAGCTACCCTCCAGTGAAAGTCCGGTCGAAATCGACCCAGCCGTTTCGGAGATTTCCTGGAATAAACGCGATTTGAGGACAGACAGACAGACAAAAAAAAATTAAATGCGATTTTCGTTAACAGCAACGCAAATACACCATCTTCCCGAAATCTGGAATTTTTCCTTTGATGTTACAGACACTGCAATTTTATTACATGTATAGATAACGAATACTTCATTATATTTTCGTAATAATGTCAATTTAAACTTTTTTCTAACGTATCAATGTACAGTATTTAGACGGTTATTACATTTTTGTCCTTGGGTTCATGCAATTGTTATTCAGTCGTTAACTTCAGCTTACCGTTTAATTGTGCGTGAAGTATTTCTAAAAACATAATGTTTCAAGTTCCCTAAACAAAATCCGTCGGTATGTTCGAGCGTTTCCTAGTATACTGATATACGAATTGACACCACAGTAGGACGAAGTAGACTGGCCCGATGAAGCGTTATATTAGTTCTTTCGGTGAATGTTTAAAAATATTTAGTGATTGAAAATGATAAAACAGCTACAATCAAACACGAATCTTTTGGCAATTTAGCAGTGTTAATGTAACACCAGTTTATGATCTAAGCTAGGCCTACGTGGACAGTTGTCCCTGTCCTCATATTGTATACTAGCTTTTTTTTTGATAAACGAGCAAGCGGCCACCTGAATCCGCCAAAATGGCGAAGCGACCGCTGCCCATAGACATCCGCAATTGCAGATGCGTTGCCTACCCATATCAGACGGAGGAAGAGACGCAAATAAAGAGGATATTTCCCCTTCCTATGCATCTCCACTGTCAAATCCACTTCCCCTTCCCATCCTCTCCTTATGAGAAAAGGATGGTAAGGAGTAAGGGACTTAAATTAGGCCTCCGGCACCACACTCATCAGACGAAACACGGAATTGCTTCTATTTCACGCCTGTCTTCTCGTGGTCGTGGTATTACAGCGGGCGTGCCGGCCCATTCGGGCTAAAATGTTAAAGCGGGCACTACCACTTTCGCCCGCTATTTCGTACGCGTGGAATTTAAGAAAACAAAAGTGAGTAGCCTATGTTTTCTTCCAGGCCTATCTATACCAAATTTCATCGAAATCCGTTCAGCCGTTAAGCTACCAACTCTAACAAACATCCATCTAAACTTTTGCATTTATAATCATGTAAGAATGAGATTATTAGATTAGTCAGATTATTGCCGCTTATACCCACCGGGACAATTAAGTTTTTCGGACTGTATTACAAAAAAACTTAGTAATAAGCAATCACCTTGTATAAGATATCACCTGACGTCTTTATTGAAGGTTGTAAAAGTAAGATGGTATTAAAAATTAACAATATATACCATCTGTCATACTCAAGTTAAAAGTAAAGGAATTATGTCTCATTATATTCAGTTAATGAGATTAAAACCCTCTATATATACAATTTAAGAACATGCTGTATGTCTTTTTTTTTAACAACCGTCTAAGAGTGGTTTTACGCGTATGTAAGTTTAAATTCCTTTGTAACGGTCTACAGACTAAACGTTTAAACGGATATTTACGAATTCGATGTCAATTGACTCGTCTTCTTGCCCGGAATGTTATAGGATATATTTTAAATATACGAAAGACCCACAGCGAACTTGAAAAGGGAAATTCTATAAAAAGTAGTGAAAAAATCGAATTAAAACCTATAAGGTACCTACCTTATAAGGTATTTTTTTATATCGAAACCTTTTTTTAGATGTTTTCGAACATATAGATCTATTAGAGTAAGTCGGTTTTTTTATTAAAATAAGGTTGCTTTACTATTAATAGGAATAGAATTAAGTGATGTCCTTAGTGTATTTTTAGACAGAGATTTTAAGGAACTCTCGTAGACAATTACCTCTAATTAGGGCAGTAAACGTAAGGAGGCGCAGCTAATATATACCAGATGGTATTGGAATAACATTACCTACTTAAAGAATTAGTTATTAACGTAATGAAGCCTTCAACACCCACGTAAACCTGCGGATCAGTTAGTTTCCCTGACTGTACATATAAAGGACATGTAATCTTTGTAATAATGTAACTTTAAAAAGACAATTAACAAAACTCTCTTAAACTCAAGCTTCTCTGATCTACTTTTTATTTTTAATCTCCTCTGTGTATTTAAATTATTCAAACAGGATTTAAAACATCTGGATACTCTAAATAATCATCTAACAAAAAACTCCTTACTTGAATAATACATGAATTAACATAATCAGAAATTAATGAAATCACGTGTACTATAGATAACTAAATTTCTTTCACGTTTTCTTATTTGCTAAGGATATTGATAATTTCGTTTATTTAGATAATATGATATCGTTAACGCATTTATAAACCAAAACGTTAAACAGATAATCACTGCTTGATTTATCTTTAATTTTAAATAGATTTATAAAAGTTGTAAAGTCGTGTATAAAAGCGCGTATGGGTCAAAAAAACTGTTTTTTTAACGGTTAAAACGTAAACCCATACGCTTATTTACGTATTTTTCTTATTTCACGGCTAAACCATACACTTTATGGTACATATTTTTTCATCTAAACTAATATAATAAAGCGGAAACACACTTCTTTGTTGCCTAAGATGTCAGCAATCACAGCATATTTTCGAATAACTCTTTTTTTAATAAAATGCCCTACACTTACGACATAAATATTTTGGATAAAAACCCTAATGTGGGAAAGAGACCATAAGTTGCTGCCAACATCAAGGAAGCAAGATTGTCAAGGTTTATCATGTCATGTAATACTGACATTTGCTATTGATAATTTGACAAATGTAAACAATGTAATGAAATTTTTACGATTTCATGCGGATAAAGCCGCACGGGAACAGCTAGTAATAAATACAATACTAAACTAGTATCAGCAAAACAGGCTGTCGCAAGTGGATCTTATCATAATTATTAACTAATATTAAAATAATTTAAAAGTAAATACAATTCTGTTAACGACTGTACATTACTAATAAGATTATCTGTCTGTTTCATTTGCAAAGTCGAAATATTCGATAGAAGACAAAGACTGCCAGTTACGATCTAACATTCATAACGAATGGACGCGTGTATAGAATAAAAAAAATATAATAAAATATTCGTATTTACGTTAGAAGTGTAGCTTTATAAAATTTGAAAATTAGAACAATGGAGAGAGTATTAAAAGAAAGAGCAAACAAAATAACCGAGGAGGAATTCAAAAAGAATTTAAATGAGTTAGAGAATGTGGAAACTCAAGAAGAGATGGAGAAGAAGTTGGATAATTTAATGAAGGGCGGTTTCTTTTTAACTAATTGGATGAAAAGTTTATTCAACAAAAGTAGTAATGAAGAATTTAAAGCTGTTTGGTTATCTGTAAGTATGGAAAAAGATTTTTTCACTTCGATCAAAGGGCAAAAACAATGTTATTTTTCCTTTGTATGTCTTAGGTTTGATTATTTATAAATAAAAATGCATACTTAACAAATATTACCACACCAAAAAAAACTTTGCCTTTTTAAATACTGTTAAAGGATTCTTCTCGTAAACTTAAGGCTTACTTTTTTTTTGTAAAAAAGGGATCGCAAAATATAGTACTAAACAACAATCTCATAATAATGCAGCATGTACACTTAACTATGTACAGTAGAACCTCGATAACTCAAACCTCCGTAACATAAAAACCTCTATAACTTCAAAATGTAATATGTCCCCTTCCCATCAGAGCCCAAAACCTCTACAACATAGACCCTTGATAACTTAAAACCTCTATAATTTAAAATTTTTGTGTTTCCCTTGGAATTTAACTTATCGAGGTTCTACTTTAAAGATTTGTATTTTTGTATGTATTTGAAATAACTCAAAAATTACTAGACCTATATCAAAATTTTCACCATTCAATAGCTTCGTTGTCGCTTAGCATATAGGCTATATATTTTTTACATTCGACGCAAACGAAGTCACGTTCAATAGCTATTTACATTATACACAAAATTACATCCACTGTTGTGTTTGTAGTAAGAGACCGGGCTCTTCGTGCAGCTAACTGCAGAATATAGAAAGTTAATAATTACGATCAAATATGCGATAAATAATGCATTAAAACAATTTAGCATAATCCTTGCTTCACGATATAACAATAAAAATTATATGAGTCATAGTCTATTGTTTAAATAAATTACAAAACATATATCTAAATCATGCTACTATCGTTTACTGAACCGAATGAATCTTACAGATAAAAATAAGGATTTCGTTTGTGCATTTTTAAAAACGATTGTACAGTCAGCCACACAAATATGCATAGATTTACAAAGCTTGAGAGACTTATACACCTTCAGTTTCAATAAAAGAACGCACGAACCCGACCGACTAATTTAACGAATAAGCCCATAAATATTTTTGGAATAGAAAGTCTATACAAGTTTCTAATTTTTTTTATGTTTTTGCAGCTGACTGTACCTTAAAAGTACAACTAAATAAATGTTACAGCTATCATCTAGTTGGTTCTGCTTTTAAAACACATCTATATTATTGTTGATTTCAAAATAACCTTATTTTTTAGATTACTAATGTAGCTAGTCCTCTTAAAAGGTTAAATAAGAAATCCTACAATATTGCTTCTCCGTTGTTCAGATAGATGAATACAAGCAACAAGCAGAGGAGAGTCTGCAAACAGCGTGGAGAATTCTCAACCTGCCGACATGGAGGCTGGAGAAAAGAGGGTCACACCGAGGAGATGTGGTCGAATCCGTGAACGTGGACCAACTGGGCAAAGTCTACAGGTTCACTGTAAGTAGCTTGCAGTAAACAGTAATCTATACTTCTATACTAATGCAATAAAGCGTAAACACACTCTACTTCGTGACGTAGCATATCAGCAATTATAGCATATTTTTGAATAATTCATCCTTTAATAAAAAGCCCTGCACTTACGACACACTTTAGGCTATACATTTTCACGCTATTAAACTTAGCGAGCAAATAATTTGGAACAAACCATCAAGAGAACGGGACAAAAACTACAAACTACCAACATCAAGGAAGCAAAGTTGCCATGGTAATTTTTATCCAATGTCAAAGGCCTTCTTTGTCATTTTGACATTTTCAAATGAGAATTTGACAAACGTAAACAATAAAATAAAGTTTATTTTTTATTATGCGGACGAAACCGCATGGGAACGGTTCGTATAATTGGCGTCCATAAATATTTAACTTTTTCAGGGCATAGTGGACTGTCCAGCGAAGTTTCTGTACGAAGAGTTCAAGAACAATATGGCTAAGTTACCAGATTGGAACCCCACTATATTGAAGAATGAATTTATTAAGGTAAGGTAACTTATATGGGCGTTAACTTAACTTTAGGACTTTAATGTAAAAAATTGTACAATATAGACTTAACTGTTACATGCGAGTATTCAAAGTTATTCTGAAAATCGTTTTGATGATTTTTAGTTAATTTTGTAAATGTTGTTTGGAAGTCGCTTTACTCTTTTATCCTTACCACAAATAATTGAGTCCTCGCACGACGTTTATGAGCGATTTTCTTTAGTTGTTACCGACCGTTAACGACCGAGTAATCGACTAATGAATTGTACTCTAAGTGAGGTTCGCTAATCATTTTTTTAATCTCCTTATCATTTATCTTGACATTTGTACACTTATGGCCGTTGTTACTATCGGCAATGTACAGTCAAGGACAATTTCCTATTACGCTAAAATATCATTTCAATGTTAAATAAACTATACGTCCGTACAATCGCTTTGTGGAAAGAGACTTTGTATTCCCGCTTCCCTTTTATGAAGCTTTGACTCACACTGCACCTGGTAAATTGACCTTTCGAGAATCATCCGTCACCTTTGACACTAATATTGCATTATGATTGATAAAATAAATAACAATAGCTTACTACGCAGTTTCTTGTAATACTAAAGGGACATCTGTTAAAAAGTATTCACTTGTTTTTGATTTTTTTTTTCGCTCGTCTGCCCCCTTTTATTATATAAAAAAAAGTATAGAATAATAGAAATTGATTTGCCAATTGGAATATTGATACCAATATTTCTGTCAATCTTTTGCACGTTTTGCGACATATGCAACCTATGAACAAACACAGTGTATCGAATTGCGAAAGATTCGATTCTTATTCTTATGCGTGGTGTAGGCCTAATATTAGACCACATTTTGTTTCCACAACAGGCGAAATATCCTTTTTACTGCGTCCCCTCCTCTCTTGATTGAAGATTGCTTAGAAAACGCATCTGCAAATGCGTTTTCTAAGCAACAATCGTTTTGCTATTTTGGCCGCCTGCTTGTCCTATCGCATTAAAAAAATGTATTTCATAACCTATTTGGTAGAGTTTATAGCCTAAACTATTGAACGGATCTCGATGAAATTGGCACAGATGTAGAGGATAGTCTGGAAGAACATATAGGCTATTTACTTTTTTTTTAATTTCACGCCAACGAAGTCGTGAAAGCTTGTTAATTTCATATATCTAGTAAAACTTGCGTATTAACCAAATTGGAGGTCGTAGGAGGTGGGTCCTGGAGTAGACCTGTCGTACCAGGTGACAGCGGGCGGGGGGCGCGGTATCATCTCGCCGCGGGACTTCGTGATCCTGCGCCGCACCGCGCAGATGTCCCGCGAAGGGCTGGTTACTGACGCGGAGCCCTACTGCTATATGACCAGTGGTGTGAGTGTACAAGTACCTGGATATCCCCCGCAGAAGGATCTAGTCAGGTAAATATACGCGCCATTATACTTAAAATACATAATGCCTAATATTTCTATCAGTAAACCACAAATACTCAACTACACTCTACAAAATATTGTTTTACCCGCGTACAAACCAATGATAGGGTTTTTGCAGGGCTATCTATACTATTATAATAAAGCGTAAACACAACCTTTTTTGTTGCCTAAGATGTTAGCAATTACAGCATATTTTTGAATAATTCTTTCTTTTTTAATAAAAAGCCCTACACTAGCGTCACGCTTTAGGCTATATATTTTAACACCATTAAACTTAGGGGGTAAATATTTTGGATAAAAACCCTAATTTAGGAAAGAGACCATAAGTTGCTGCCAACATCAAGAAAGAAAGATTGCTAACTAAGGTTCGTCATGTCATGTCATTTTGACATTTGCTATTGATGATTTGACAAATGTAAACAATAAAATAAAATTTTCATTGTTTCATGCGGATGAAGTCGCACGGGAACAGCTAGTAATATTTGTAAATTGTGTTTTATGTAAAATTTCAATAAATAAAGACATTTAAATAAGCTATAGACGAGGCAGTAAATAAAAAAAAATCATCAGTACATTCTTTAAAAGGTCTTCAGTTTTCAAGTTTACAAAATTTTTACATTTTACAAAATTAAAATAAGCTCTATCTTTTGTTATAAAATATATAAACATTTAAATATTATTTATTGACACTTACTGGCAATTAATTAGGAATAAGTATCGAAATTATTCTACATTGTGCAATATTATCTACTAGCTGATGCTCGCGACTTCCCCCGCGTGAACAAAAATATATTCTATGTTATTCACAGATAAATTACCTTTTTAACGGTGAAAGAATTTTTAAAATCAGCCCAGTAGTTATTGAATTATTTCAATACATACAAAAATACAAATCTTTCCTCTTTATAATAGTATAGATTACTAATACGAAGACGATGAATACATTGTCTTTGTTCATATCTGTTTATTTTAATCCCTTATTAAGGTTAAAAAGATATGTTGTACTATCACACAGACATCACGTAATTGGTGATATATGAAGTGCATAATTCCATAGTTTTTTAATGCATTGATCTTTATTGATTACAATTGGTCATATTTTATTAATCCTATTAAGATAACATATATTATGTTTAATTACGACTTTACGACGAAATAAAAAAATAATACAAAACATAGCTCATGTACTCTCAGATAAATTATCTTTCTAATAGTGAGAGTATTTTAAAATCGGTTCAGTAGTTTTTGCGTAAAATACATACAAAAATACAAATCTTTCCTCTTTATAATATTAGATTGCAACAATATTACGGAGGTCCTATTTTAATCCTATTTCCTTCTTACTCTTTGAAGTAAGAAAAGTATTGAAATGGAGATGTACAGATGAATTTAATGAGGCAGCATTGGAGGGAAAATATTCTGTCCCCTCCTCTGTCATAGTAAACTGCTGTAGCGGATGTATATATTCGATTGCTCTTTTGCAATCTTACTTCCTACTAATATTATAAGTGCGTAAATTTAGATGGATGTTTGTTAGAGTTTGTATCCTTTTTAAGAGGGGGGAAATCTTTAAAAAGTTACTCTTCCTTCTGGGGAGAAAACTGGGTTATGTGATAGAGTTTGTAGCCTAAACTACTGAACGGATCTCGACGAAATTTGGCATAGATGCAGAGGATAGTCTGAAAGAAGACATAGACTTGCTTTTATTTTATTTTATTACACGCGGACGGAGTGGAAGTCGAAAGCTAGTTTAAATATACAGTAATAAGTTATGTGCTATTTATTTTCAGAGGTCATAATAAAGTGGGTTGCTGGGTGATGAAGCCGAAGTCCTCGCAGACCGCTGGCGGGAAGATCGAGGAGTGCACCATATTCCACTGGCTGATGTGCTGCGACCTTAAAGGTAATGTACAGTCGCCTTCTTACGAGGTGTTGGAGTTTAAAAAAAATACAATCTTTTGAATAAGTATCTACGATAATTTAACATTTTTAATAATAGCTTGAATTATCCAAGAGTTATAATAATTTAACTAAAAACTAGTATTGATTAATTTTATTAACCCCTGTTGTAATAATTTCAGTTCTATAAAACATTATAAAGGGAAAAGATTTATATTTTTGCATACAGTGACATTGAAATGTATATATTTAAAAATTCCATCACCATTCAAAAGCTACGTTGTCACTTACATAGGCTATACTATAATTTTTAAGTTTCACGCGGATGAAGTCGCGAGCAAATACTATTTATATTTATATATATTAGTTTTCGTCCGTGTGTTAAAAAAACAAAAATGACTAGCCTATGTGTTCTTCCAGACTATCCTTTACATCTATACTAAATTTCATCCAAATCCATTCAGCAGTTTAGGCTACAAACTCTAACATCCATCTAAACTTTCGCATTTATAATATTAATATGATTTTCCAGGTAAAATCCCGCAGTTCGTGTTGGACGCGGCCTTCGCTACGGTGATGTTGGACTACATCGTGCACGTGCGGAAGTTCGCCGCAGACTCGAAGGCGAAAGGCCTCTTCTAGCTCACTTCACGTAATTCTACTGTACGGTGCTTACATAGGATTATTCCCAACCGTCACCCCGCTCTGTCCCCACGTGAGAATGAAAAGTCATCCCTCCCATTTTTAGTCCCACTATCACCAGTAAAACAGATTGAACCGTTATGAAATAAAATAAGTTCCAACCGTCCCCTCGTTGCAATAGGTGAGACGGGTGAAACTTTATTCTCACGTGGGGACAACGGTGTGACGGTTGGGAATAATCCCTTAGATAGTGCTAGGACAAACCCCGCGTACAAGCTAAATATTACGTTATATTGGAATTTTTTAATGGTACAGTCAGCTGTTTAATTACATTTTAAAAAGGATAGAAAGCAGGTGCGGTTAATTAAATAGAAATATTAATCAATACTATTATAATAAAGCGTAAACACACACACCTTTGTTGCCTAAGATGTCAGCAATTACAGCATATTTTTGAATAACTCTTTTTTAATAAAAAGCCCTACATTTATGTCACGCTTTAGGCTATATATTTTCATGCCGTTAAACTTAGGGGTAAATATTTTGGATAAAAACCTTAATGTGGGAATTAGACCATAAATTGCTGCCAACATCAAGAAAGAAAGATAGCTAATTTGTCATGTCATGTCATTTTGACATTTGCTATTGATAATTTGACAAATGTGAACAATCCATTCTTGCTAACCTTAGTTTACAGCCCCCTGGTGAAGGTTTTATTTAAATTTTTAATTACCAATAATAACTGTAATTGAAATATACAAAATTTTGTATTTAGTGTGTAGTATAGTAACATCGGTGTTGACCTATTACAGTGCCTCGATTGATATCATCAGCTACCGGTAATTTGTCAATCACACTGGATACCGTCTATCTAGTTAACTGCTACTCAAAATAGTCTTGGGCTTAATCGGACATCTGCAAGTGCGCACCGTACTAGTACAATTGGGAAAACGTACTAGTACACACTTTTAGTACCTTTAGTACTTCAGATTTGTGAAAACACAATACATGAATAGAATATAACGAGGGTTATATATTACTTCACATCAAATTTTAATCAGGGTCAAACATATGTTTTAGCGAAAATAAATTTAGTTATGAATAATTTTATCCACTTTTGATTCTCATTATCGAAGGTGGATGCTTCAATCTGACAAAAAGGCGAACACCGATATCGTGTAGTGTACTAAAAGTACTAAATGTCCGATTAACAGAAGCCGTTCGGTAACGTTACTTTTAGTACAGTGCCGAGTAACATTACTTTTTAGTACATCGTACGTGTACTACCCAAGACTAACTCAAAATTTTAGTCTTGTTCTATAGTTTTAATTATCTTCAACCTTGACGTTGGCGAAATCATTAAAATAACGATGGGGTCCACTAAACATTAAAAGAAGAAGAAGAAATGTGAACAATAAAATGTATTTTTTAAATTTTTTTCGGATGAAGTCGCATGGGAACAGCTAGTGCTACATAACTAAGAAGTGTGTGTTTACGCTTTATTATATTACAGTAGAACCTCGATAACTCAAACCTTGGTAACGTAAAAACCTCTATAACTTAAAAAAATAATATGTTCCCTTCCCATCAGAGCCCAAAACCTTTGTAACATAGACCCTTGATAACTTAAAACCTGTATAAGTTATAATGTTTTGTGTGTCCCTTGGACTTTAACTTATCAAGGTTCTACTGTAGTACAGAAGTATAGATAAAGATTATTCACTTATTCAATTTATAGTCTGTAGCAAGTTCTTATACTTTCTAAGGCTTTGTATACACTTTTATGTAGCTGACTGTACATGTTCTTTCGTTCTCAATGATATGGACAATATTTATTACAAGTTTTGTAGAATAAAATAAATGCGTTGATTTAATTGGTGGACTATACAACGCACAAAATATATTGGCTTACAAAAAATTACATTGGAGATGACAATCATATGAAAAAAAAATATTATTATTTTTTGAATATCATTAATAATATAATTTATCAAAATTAGAAAAATCATTCTATACTTTATAAATTTTAATAAACTGCTTTATAAATAAAACGTTGACAGTTAAAATGGCGCGAAATTTTTGACACATCGATACGAATTAAAAAAAAATCACCTTTGATCTGATATTAAAGTACGTATTCCTAAGTCAATGCCATGACAGCATTTTAGAACTCCTAGATAGGACAGAATTAAAAACGGCCGTATACTGAAACGACATACGAATATAAGTCATACCATGTATTATTTCTTAAGATGTTAAAAGTTAAAATTGAGACAATTTTTACGTCCCCACCGAGGGGCTCGGAGCCTACCCTAAAGTTAATATCTCGTATTGTATTGACATATAATAAAATATTTTACATAAGCTACATTTTTTGTTATAAAATATAAATATTTAAGTATACTTAACTGGCTGTTGCTCGCGACTTACTCCGCGTGAAAAAAACAATAAAATACATAGCCTATGTTACAGATAAACTTTCTAACGGTGATAGAATTTTTAAAATCGTCCCAGTAGTTTTTGAGTTATTTCAATACATACAAAAACACAAAACTTTCCTTTTTATAGTATAATAAATGACATATATTGAAAATTAATTTAAATAGAATAAATAGTGATGATTATGTGAAAAATGAAGAGCGTCGGTGGCTCAGTGGTTTGAGCACTTGTCTTGTAATCTAAAGGTCTTGGGTTCGAATCCCGCTGTACCAATGTGATTTTAGATTTTTCAAATTTTCATACGTACATAAAGCCCGACGTTCTTACGGTGAAGGAAAACATCGTGATGCAACCTGCACATATCAGCGAAGAAATTCAAAGATATGTGTGAAGTCAACCAACCCGCAGTGCAGCGTGGTTGACTATGGCCTAGACACCCTAACTTGGGGTAGGCTCCGAGCCCCTCAGTGGGGACATATAGTGAGCTGACGAAACAAAGATTTCCTCTTTATAATATTAGTAAAAATTCGTTTCAGTATAATGCTGTTAGTTTTCTATATTACACTAAGATATGCCATTCAATTGTATCATAAAAATACTATAATTGGACCATTCAATATATTGGTAATATTTATTAGGATGTAAAGATTTTTTTTTTTAATTAAAAATTAAAAAGTTCCATTTTCATACAGTTAATAAATAACATCAACTTCATAAAAAAATATATAATGAAAGCTTTTATATAATTTCGTATCATATGTAAAAAATAACATGTAATTAATTATTTTATTACTAGCTTTCCCGCGACTCCGTTCGCGTGGAATTAAAAAAACAAAACTGAGTAGTATATGCGTTCTTCCAAACTATACTCTACGTTTATACCAAATTTCATCGAGACCTGTTCAGCAGTTTAGGCTACAAACTCTAACAAACATCCATCTAAACTTTCACATTTATAATATTAGTAAGATCAGTTAAAACAATGTATTATATATATAAAAACTCTGTTTATTGTCAATTAATAATATCTTACTAATATTATAAATGAGAAAGTTTAGATGGATGGATGTTTGTTAGAGTTTGTAGCATAAACAACTGAACGGTTTTCGATGAAATTTGGTATAAATGTAGAGGATAGTCTGGAAGAACACATTGACTACTCAGTTTTGTTTTTTTAATTCCACGCGATCTCACGGAGAACTAGTATTTATATATTTTTTGTCAATTAATAATATAAATTACCTCTTAATTATAAATTCTTTATCTATCTCAAACATTTCTTCTAATTACTTAAATTGCTTTCTTATAAAACATAATATTTGTTCTATTCTTTTTTTGCTATGATTTTTTTTTTCAATTATTGGATTTTTTAAAAGGTCTCTTTAACTAAATATTAATGTTGACAGGAAATAAGTATTTTATAATCTTGGTGATAAATCTGTGATTCCCTTATTACAGTTGGGGAATTTTATTTCCTATCCATCTTTGAAATGTCATTTGTTAATGAAATTACATGGATTTGTCATAGTAATATATGTGCTATATTAAATGAAAGCTGTACGATATTCTAGTATACGGGTTTTCTATGTTATTTGCCCTTTACTTTTGAAAGATGTAATTTTTCTTAATTATTGTTATTGGAATAATTTCGAGTCTTCCCAAATTGTCAAAGAAAGCCTAAAACCAGGAGTGTTTTTATACTGGTAATAACCCAAAGTAGGGTAGGCAGAAGAATTAAAATTGGCTCAAAATGTTTACATAAATAACTTTTTATATAGACATTGTTTAATTTCCAATAAGAGGTTCCATTAGTAATTGGTGCTTGGCTTGAATATACACTGTGGGCTTCCACTGCCCGCTACACGCATTCAGTTAAAACTGAACAATCCAACTGTACAATTACAGTGTAGAGAACAGTGTAGACAGTCAGCTGATCTGTAGATTTCTAAGTTTTGTCATGTAAAATTTTTACTATTGTTCAGATAAAACTGAAGGTGTTTACGCCAATGTAATACCACGGTTATAAATAAATAACCAATGCAACAGAGTACATATTATAAGTATAAAATGTTACCTTTTTACTTTTTGCATGCATTTTATTAATTTTAATAATATAAATGTAAGTTATCAGTCGTTATGTAAAGGGACTATGTTAAGTAAAGTATTTTTTTATTAATAAAAGCTGTAAATAATAAATTAAGTGAATAAATGCCGAATTTGTATGGATTTTGTTTTTTTTTACCCTCCTTGGATATCTCTCTACTAATATTGGTAAAGGAAAGATTAGTATTTTTGTATATTTGTATGTATTGAAATAACTCAAAAACTACTAAGCCGATTTTAAAAATTATCCCAACGTTAGAAAAGTTATTTATCTGTGAGTAACATAGGCTATAGTTTTATGAATATAATTTCTTGCGGGCGAAGTCATGTTAAATATACTTCAGATTTACAGGTACCACTAATAAATGCAAAAGTCTAGATGGATGTTTATTACTAAGTACCTCCAGAACGCAATGGATCTCGAAAAGCATATACATTGAGGAAAAACAGGTTTCTTATAAAGTTTTTTTAAATTCTGCGCGAAGTCGCGGGCTACAACTAGTATATACAACTCAACCTTATAAATTGGATGTAATGTCACTTAAACACTATCCTAGCTTACCCGTCTACGGACGAGGTCGGGATGGTGTTTAAGTTGGGCGACATCTGTTTAAGAAAACAGTCAGATAATTAAGTTTTGTTTGTTTAAGATTTATGAGGCGTTATAGTCGCTTCGCCACAAAGCACGATGTGAAAATAAATAAAAAAACCTTACAAATAAAGATCTGTGCAGCAGTGAAAGCAATATTGACGATATCATGTTGTTTGTCAATTTTAACTATAAAAAAGATAACTAGACAATGTTTTTTTTGTGTTTTAAGACAAGATATAAATTAATAGAAATTGTGAAGGTAGTCGTAAATGTGTCACAATTTAAAACGACATTAAAAGGTTAGGAAAAATACTGAATTCAATACTATGAATACCAAAAGAAGCCATACTAGTTCATTGGCAAATTAGATACAAGAACCTTTAATATTATAAATGCGTTTAGATGGATGTTTGTTAGAGTTTGTAGCCTAAACTGCTGAACGGATTTCGTTGAAATTTGTGATAGATGTAGAGGATATTCTGGAAGAACACATAGGCTATTTTGTTTTAATTTCACGCAGTCGAAAGCTAATATAATATAAAATAAAATATAAATTTTAATACACTTATAAACACGAAATACTCTAGGGTAATGCTGATAAAGACCCCAATGCTGTTAGCCCCCTTGTAGACATATACGAATAGACCTGCAAATGATTAAAATCAGATAAACTGTGTAAAGTGTATATTACCATGAATTTTTAATTTCTACTGCCGTATAAAAAACGATGTAATTTTCTATTAAAAACAAAAATAATAACTTGAGTCTGAAAAATAGGACGTGTGGCTTTATTCAATTTGTATAGTTTTTTTTTTATTAATTATTTCGTCAGTGAAAATTGTATTCATTAAGTTTATTTCAAGTGTTTAAATAAATCTTTGACGTAATCGGGGAGAAATATTACCAAGATCAACAAATCGGAATTAAAAAAAAACTTTAGGATTCAAACTTGTTCAATGAAATATGTGTTAAAATAAACAGTGCATATTATTGTTATAAGAAAAACACAATTAATTTTAATTGTTATTTATTTTACAATATTACACAATAACAATAAATAAATAAGTTTACGTGCCGCTTAACCATATAACACAAGTTTTGATGTTGTATTTCTTGTTTACGAAATCCTAACGGTTAGGCTTTTGGCTTCATTTTTGGCGGTTTTATTATTGAACCGATACTCTTTCTTTTCGACATCGCAGCTTTCTTCTTATGAGGAGTGTTGGCAATCTTTGATTTAGACTGTTGCGTAGTTTTAATTCTAACGGTTTTCTCTTTTTTATCTTCGGTTATTTCGAGTTTTCTTTTAACGCTTTTTTTCTTTTCTTTTTCAACCTCTGGCAGTATTTTGTCGCTTTTTTTAGTTTTAACTTTCGTGTCAGTTTTTGTCGTTTTTATCTTATCTTTTTTATCTTCGGTCTTTTTAGTGATTTTCTTTTCGACTTTCTTTGTTTTTGGTTTGGTTTTCTGTTTGTCAGCAGCTGGAGCTAGTTTGAACGACCCGGTGGCGCCGATACCATTTACTTGTACTATAATTCCCGCTTCCACTTCACTTTTAATGAGTTTCTTTATAATATAGTTAACTTTAGCGACGTCAACGTCGTAGTTTTCGTGCATATATTTCTTTATAGCGTAGAGAGAAGTGCCTTTTCTGCTTTTCAAGTCTGTTAATGCTTCGTGGACCATCGCTTTTACGCTTATCTTCTTTGGAGCTTCATCAATTTCATTACTACTTTCTTCTTTTAATTCTTCTTTCGAAGGCCGTTTTATTATTGTCTTTTTGGTTTTTTTAGGTGGCGTCACCTCCATTTCGTCCTCGTAGCCGCTTGACATTTTCGTGATGTTTTTTCTTCGCTACTAATACGTTTATTTGTAGTTCCACATACTTATAGAAAATACGTTATTATGACTAAAAAAAGATTTTGTCATTCAGAGATATCTGTACTTTAATTGGTCTTGAGGTGATAGAGCGCAGGGGGTGTTTTACCGGAACTTTTAGAGTAAAAACAATTGAGAAGCTCGGATACATATTAGTTATGACAATCTTATTACCAACAATTAAACCTAAAATATCAATCATTACGTCTACATAAAACCAGTCTACGCACTACACCTTCTGTTTGATAAATGATTCACTGAATTTGAAGTTAAAAAATACTATAACAACCGCAATGCTGAAGTAAACACGATGAACAATTTAGTCTATGGTAACTAAGAATTGAGAAATCACTAATGCATAACTTACTAAAAATGTTTTTAGAAGTGAAATAATGTTCCTACCTCGACCTAGAAAAAGAAGAGGGGCTTAATCGAATGGAGATATAAACCGAAATATGTGTCATAAATGTGTATAGCAATTTAACAAAACGAAGAACGGAGAAGGAAATAATTCTTCGTTGATCTGCAATCGATGAAGTCTCCAAATAAAATTATAACCATTACGTAATCTTTACGTTCTAATAGCCTTGCCAGATTTAAAATTGTACCAAATACTAGGGTACGTAATATTTTCCCTAAAAACAACTATAGATTATTCCCAGATTATCTTATCTGGACTATGACTTACTTAAAATTGCATTATTATTAATGCAATTTTAAATAAGTCATCAATTGGCGACTTTGTAAATTTATTTATTCCACGATAGAATTAAAATCATAAATTCTCATTATAATTTAATTCTTGTGCTAAAAAGTAATACAAAACAAATTTAAATATGGACAACTAATACGTAGATGTAAGAAATTTTCTTATACTCAATTATTTATTACTGGCATTTCGAAAATGGCCTTCACATCAATTAGAAGCATCAGAAACTATACTTTACTGAAAAGTTTAATTAAAAAAGTTAGTAATTGTGCTGCAATCAAATGTAAAGTTATGAGAATTAATCACTAAAATTTTTAAGACATTTATAATTGAAAGTATTTTTGACGCAAAGCGCCTTATGGATTGAAATAGCAATCATTCGGACTGAATTTAACAAGCGTTAACTCCCCAACGTTAATTCCCATTTAACTTTCTAAAATAACTTAATTTGTCTAAAAATTCAAGACGTCATTGCAATGATTTGTCAATTATAAGAAAAATGTATCGTTTCTTTTAATCATATCGTATGTACTTATTTGAATATTCAAAATTACTGATTAAAATAATTCTTTTAGTGCATAAAATTCGGAAATATGGTTTTTATAACAATAACAAGGGATAATTTCAAAAAAGTCATTAATGTATCGAATTTTTGATAAACCTTTACGCAGTTTGCCTAAATTAGTTTTCTACAAAATTATCTTGAAGTGTGCAAAGTTAACTCATTTACAGGGTCATCTTAAATCACATTAGGCGCCCAAATGCAAAAATTAATTCAGCGTCCAGAAAGGACGACCGTTGGTTGGCGCCCCCAGAACCCAGTGCTCAGCATCCTCTGTAAACACATAACAGATGGGAACTATTCGTTTAAAGTATTTTATATAAAAATATTAGATTTCATGACCTTTAATTTTATATATTATGCAAAGTAGCTTCCATTGAAGATTGAAAAATTCCACCTATATTACTAGCTAGCGACTTTGTCTGTGAAATTAAAAAATTTAGCCTAAGTTACTTAGCCATAAATTTCTAACGGTGAAAGAATTTTTAAAATCGGCCCAGTAGGTTTTACATAAATCTAATACATACAAAAATCTTTCCTCTTATAATATTAGTATAAATTATCTTACTAATGTCATAAATGCGAAAGATGGATGGATGTTAGATCTCCAGACGGGTTTACGTAATACATCTAGACGTAATATATATTCTGGAAAAACACCAAGACGTAATCAAATTACCAAAACATTTTTAATCTGTGGGAATATAAATAAAAACTTTCAGATTTCGATAATCCTCTTTCTACATCACGAAGCCAATTTTAATTAGTTTGCGGTTACGTATTACGTCATTTCGTCAAAGAAATTAGTCGTATTTTATTTCCTAACTCGCGGTTGCCTGCGACTTCGTCCACGCAATATTAAAATTAAAAAAGTAGTCTATAATATACTCGTCTATGTCAGCTACCCTCCAGTGAAAGTCAGGTCCAAATCGGCACAACTTAGATTACCCGAAACAAACGCGGCTTGCGGACAGACAGACAGACAAAATAGTTTTAAATGCGATTTTCGTTATTAGCAACGCAATTACTTCACCTTCCGAAAATCTGGAATTTTTCTTTTGATATTAAAAATAGACAGTCCAATTTTATTACATGTACAGATTGACAAAATTGCTATACGTTTCCACTGCCTGGATTTATGTGCAGAATGTTTTTTCTCTTTCTTTCTGCTTGAAAAAACAGAGATAAAAATATTTTTACATACAGGCATTTTGGCAATTTAAGCTAACAGTTATATTGAACGCGATAATCTTGTATGCATGTATGTTGTATATAAATAATTTTAGGGCGTAATTTTTGGCTATAGACATTATTAGTGTTCTTAGGACTAGATATTGTTTCTATTCAAAAATACTATTTAGACGTAAAAAAGCTTTTAGACAGTACGTTTAACCACAAGGTTTAAATAACTACTAGTTAAGAAATTACAAGACAAAAGCTAATTTAAAAAAAATAGATGTCCACATTGCGTTCAATAATTTATGAAAAAAAAATCATAAGTATAAAAAATTAAAAACAAGAAGAAACTAAACACAGTAATTGTTTCTCGCTATCAACTCGGCTCGGCCAACACAACCCAGTGTTTTAAAATAAAACAGTCTAGAATCTCGTTAGGTCTTCTCACCTTGAAACAAAAGATAACATACGTATCATTATTATAAGCTCCTATTCCAGAATATTCCTACATAATTCATAGCAAACCTCGATAAAACTCAAAATATATCGACCATTTTATAATCGTAATAATATGTACAAGTATAAATAATTTAATATGACTAAACTGCGCTCAAAGTATTTCCTTGTGTGCATATAGAATCCATACAATACTGATGACATCATCACAGATTAATAAATACGTAAAGATTTTTTTACTTATCTTGAAATATTGTCTTTACCAAGATGGAATACAACTCAATATTCCATGCTATCAAACAACAAAAGATATTTTATTGCAAGCTAGCCGTTCCAAGAATTTATACTCTCGCTCATTTCTATTGAAAAATGGCACGTGCTAGAAAGAGATAAATATACGAAACTCGTTTACAATTGAATTAACGTGAGGGTATTGGGGTCACAGCACGTGTTTGAATTTCGAAACACGTTTCATCCAATACGGTGCGTTCGTAACCAGCGGTTTATCATTGGTTAGACTTAACCGGTACTAGAAAACGTCAAGTCTCAGTAAAATCGATAGCGTGCAACGCTTCTCCATACAAAATAAGCGATACTGTCGCAACTTGGTTATCGCTCCCGGTCGCATGGTACCGATGTCGCTCACTGGAGGATGAATCTTTCACGTTATTCGTGCCGCCATTTCGTCGCGAAAGATGTCCGGAGTGACCGTATTTATGGCGTTCTGAATTCGTTCTCCGTGGTTTTTTGTGCATGCTGAGCTGTTTTGACGAGATTTCACAGAGGTAAGTGATTTTTGTCGAATTTGATATCGAACATCCGTCCATTTTGATCCAGTTTTATTGTGGCATTGTTTACGTTGGTGTTTTGTTGCATTACACGTCACTTGCTAATATCGTTTCAAAATTCAAGAACGGGAATGGAGGATTTCTTCGAAATTTATATTTGGAACGATAAACGAATAACTTTGTAATGTTACGGTTGATTCGATATGATTTTGTAGTCACCATTATTAGTTAAGGTTGTATTTTTGGTAGTTTTTGTTAATATTTAATGTGGAGAGTAATGTAAACATGCTGTCTGTAATTCGATACATGTTTTTTGTATATTGTGTCATATGCATGTCTGAGTTTAAGTATCATAGTATGATACCCTTGGGGTTCTTAGTACGATGGCAATAGGGTTGAATTTCCCATGTTTTATTTGACTGCCTTACTTAATTAGTTTGCTTAGGGTGTCTCTGTTCGACATGCTAGCGATGCCGGGGCAAGTTTCTCTTTCTTACTTGTGATTTATTTATAGGACGAGCGAGGGACGCGCTGCCCCCCAGGGCGCTCTATATTTGATTTAGTGTTGGGGTTATCGATAAAAATGAGTTCATCGATATTTTTCGTGCAAAGTATTAATATTTTTAAATGGAAATTTGGCTGCTTTACTAAAAACCGATTTGCGCGCCTTTTAAAGCTGTGCTTGTTAAGAGTAAAAGTGTTGTTCAGATTTGTATTTTCGTATGTAAATTATTATTTGTTTAAAAGGTTTTATGATTTTTTTTAATAACGACAAGGATTTAATAAGATAATTCTTCTAAAAGCTATACCATTACCTATACTTTATTTTATCTTCTACTTACTTTCTTCTTCTGTCTTCCTAAAGCTGCCAACAGCTTATATCTTGAATTGCGAATGTCGATATGAAGCGGTTGTCCCTTGAATCTCTTGATCTCCCTAAAAACTTACGTCCAAGGCACATATTTATACATACCATTATAACAGGTATCAGTTTATTTATCTATTATTTATTTATGTAAAAAGAACAAAACGGTATAACAAATGACTATAACAATAAATATGTAAATAACTACTATCAATGTACAATATTCATCTATTTCAATGACGTTGATTCATTAATTATATATATTTACATAATGTATTACTTAATGTGTTTTAATATTAATTAACGTTAATTTGAAAAGCCATTAGTGGAATTAAATCATTATTATATCGATAAAAAATGAAACGGTACAACACTAGCACAAAAAAATGTCTGCCGTTGTTGAGGCAAAGGGGACTACTGCTTGACGATAATAATTGCAACGAACTAAAATGTATTGTATGCAATACGCGATAGAGTTCAATTTCACAAGACGAGAACGTCCCTTTGAAATGTTTCTCTTACAAATGGCAAATAAACTGCTACTTTAAGCTCTACGTATAAGATCCAATATCGCTTGCAGTTTAATATCAAGTTGTAATAATAAAAATTTAAGATGGAGACAATTCCATAGTTTTTTTGTTGCGTTCTATACAATAATTTATGTGGGGTGAAAAATGGAGTCTGACGGTAAGCGCCAATGGCTCGATGTGGGGAGCGTTGTTTTGAAGATATTACAAGTGAGTTGTAAAACTGGTAACGATTTTATTACTTGTGGTGGTAAACAAACTGTGACAGGTCAAGTATTGCCATGTGTTAGTGACCTTTTTGTACAACTTATATTAATTACACATATAAAGATAAAAACGTATTAACATTATAAATGTGAAAGTTTGATGGATGTTTGTTAGTTTGTAGCCTATACTGCTGAACGGATCATTGAAATTTGACATAGATGTAGAGGATAGTCTGGAAGAACACATTGGATACTTGTTTTTTTAATACCACGCATAGTCGCGGGCGAAAGTACATATTATATGACTGCTGACAAATACAATGTAATCTCTTTTTAGGATAAAATAGCACCCGGTTCTAATTGGGGTGTAACTATGTAACACAGTTGTATATTTTATTAACTGACAGCTGTCAATGCGGCATGTTTGTAATATAAGACGGCTTGTTTGGTTGAAGTTTTTTTTTATCGTGTATGGGGCATCATTTTTTATTATAAACATCTTCAATAGGCCTAACGTTTATTGGCTGATACCTGTTTTGGTACATTAAAATATTAGTTACCATAAATTTAAGCCTAAAGATGGTCTAAGGTACCATGTACTGAATTACTAAACTTTGAGCCTAAGCTTTTTAAAGCTACACTTTTTATAGTTTTTATAACTGATCCTTGTAAACTCCGGATAGGTTTACGTCTTTTTTTCGTCGAATTTAATTAAAAATCAGTGATTTGCGATTGTAATTACGTTTTTAGCATCATTTGCACGACTTACATATTCGTCTCTAGTGAATACACTTGTATCTAGAATGTTGTCTCTATTTTTATAAAGAGAATATGCGAGATGGCAATGTTTCAACACTGAAAATAAAAAATACAATATTCTTTTTTCATTACAGATGCAGCAACCAATTTATCAAGACCAGCAGGGGTAAGCATCTTTTAATTCTCGTTGCTGGTAATTTATGAACATTACAATTGGCAAAAATTTACAAACTTTAATGCAATTCATATTGTGTAAAATAGTCATTTGAGGGATTACCCAAAAATGATTTATGATGGTAACATTGTTTTCTGTTGCTACCTGGATTTAGACAAATGCAGATAGGCCTAAATTTGCGTTCACTTTTATCGAACTAATAGATAACCTCATTTCTTACCAGCGGGCAGCAGGGGGCTGGTCAACAGATGCTCCTGTGCCCCGTCAGATTGGTTTACGAAACCCAAATCTTGGTTCAACCTGGTGAGTGTCTCATCAAATAACTTTCAGCGTTTATTTTTGTACTTCTTAATCATTTTAGATTATGAAATTGGGTTTTCTGTATTTCATTAATCTAATTTATTTTCCAGGTGAACAAATACAACCGAACCAAACGATTTTCATAAACCCGCACAACCCACCGCCATGGATACAGAACAGACCTCAGAACAACGTGATGTACGTCCAACAGATGGCGCCCAACAACTTCATGCCACAAATACAGCAACAGCCGGCACAAAATCCTATATACATCCACCAGAACTACAACAACTTGCAACAGATGATACCGCAACAAATTATATCACAGGCACAACACAAAGAAGTGCGAACAGCTAATGTACAAATGGCTAACATGCTGCAGCGAAACCCTGCACAACAATTGCAACCTACAGCTAATCCATACAATACAAGCGCACCGAACGAGGCACAAAACACTGCCACCACCAACTTCGGAGTAATACCTGCAAACTACATGCAAAACCAAATAACCCAAAACCAAATCAATTTCATCCCAACAAATGCTAACAAACAAATTATACAAAACGTACAAACACCCAGACCGGCTGTAACGACAACAAACGTTATGAACTTCCAAAGAAATATCGAAATACAGCAAAACATACCCAGGACCGTTGTGCAGCAAACCTTCCAACACGAAAGTAACATACAAACATCGCTGCCACAGTCGATAACAATGGTACCCATCCAGCCAACACAACCGCCTCAAAGAACTAACGACACCCACGATCAAAGTACACAAATTCGACCAATGCAAACATTGGTCGCCAACAAACCAACCATACCTCCAACAGTCACCACAATTTCAAATTCAACACACGAAAGAATAGTAAAAAAAATAGCTGCAGTCACACCAAAAGGTAATATTACTGTAAATACATTAGTAAATACGGTACCAAAAAATGTCTCTTCATATAGCTACAGACCAATCCAACCCAGACCTCAGCAACAGAGAAATATAGTACCCAATATCATCCCTACCAACACTCAGGCACAAATTAAAGGTCCACCAAAGATGCAGCAACCTGTAACTTACAATGCAAACCCACTTACTTATCTGATGACATCGAATTATACTAACACTGAACAGAGTATGTTTAATAGAAAGAGAAAGAGTGAATCTCCTGATGAGGTACAAAAGAAAATGGTCAGTCAAATACCACAAAAGGGTTCACCAGTTGCTGTGGTCTCTTCGGTGCAAACAAACACTGTCAACAGCATTGGCGTAAATACAATGCCAATGCAAAAAACACATAAAATGCCTGCAAATATTACCAGAATTCCTAACATGATACGTAACGAAGAAACCATAAAAGAAATACAACAAAGAGTCGAGACTCAAATGGTCAAAGATACATCGTCGCAGAGCGAAACAGAGAAATTACTAAGGAATACAGTATTTACACAAGCTAGGAACAGAGTTTTAGCTGATAAACAAGAAATGATAAGTACAAATACAATAAAAGTCGAAACTATTACTAGTGAGATAAAAACTGAATCAATACTTAAAAAGGAACTTGAAAAAGAACCCGTTAAAATTGCGGAAGAAAATAAGCGGGATTTAGTGAAAAAAGAGGAAGAAAATAAAATAGAACTAATTAAGAAGGAGGAGGAAAGCAAAAAAGATTTAACTAATAAGGAGGAAGAAATTAAAAAAGAAATAGTCAAAAAGGAAGAAGAGATAAGAAAGGAGATAATCAAAAAAGAAGAGGAAATTAGAAAAGATTTAATCAAAAAAGAGGAAGAAATTAGAAAGGATATAATAAAAAAAGAAGAAGCAATTAGGAAAGATTTATTCAAAAAGGTAGAAGAAAGTAAAAACGTATTGGTCCAAAAGAAGGAAGATAAAAAAGAATTAATCACAAAAGAGGAGGAAAATAAAAAAGATGCACCTGAAAATGAAACCACTAAATCAGTAGTTGTTCAAAAGGAAGAAAAGATAGGCAAAGATCCAAGTAATACATTAAAACCAAACATAAGAGAAATCAATGTACTTGGTAATAGACAATCAAACGACAAGAACAGTTTTGTATTGACACATGTACTTGATGGTTATGTTATACAGGAGTCTAACATAGCTTTCCCTGTAAGTATATTTTTACTACAAAATCTTATATCAATCTCTCTCTTTTTTATAGTCGAATCTAACTTTTTTTCTATATCTAAAAATTTAGAAAAAAAAGTTAGATTTTATAAAGAGCGTAACTTTAAGAATGAAAGTATGGATGGATTGTGTGAAAGAGGATCTGATTAAGAAAGGAATGGATTCAGGTATGACGGCTGATTGAGATGTATGGAAGAGCAGTATACTGTGCCAACCCTCGATAAGGGCAAGTTAATGATGTTAAAAAAGGTTTACTTTAATCCTTTGCTACATGCTTTTTTATCTTTCTTGATATTGACTAAATTTAACTTTTATAGATTCGAAGACCATTAAAAGAGAAAACACTTCTACCAAATACAAATACAGTATCAGTAGATAAAAAAGAATCCAAAGAAGTGAAAACTGAAACAAGCACAAAGATCATTAATTTATCAAATTTGAATTTAAATGACGTTGAAGAAAAGAAAAGAGTTGCTGAAGGAGAAGAAAATAAGGAGTGCACGGAGAGCGATAGTAAAAAAGGTAACCATTACATTTTTTTTATATACTAATATTATAAAGAGGAAAGATTTGTATTTTTGTATGCATCGGAATAACTTAAAAACTACTGGGCCGATTTTCAAAATTACACCATTAAAAAGCTACATTATCAGTGTGTAACATATTTATATCATTATTTTTAATTTCACGCGGACGAAGTCGCGAGTAACAGCTAGTTTTTATTACACTCAGTGCCACGACTTTTTCATGTAAATAAACTTACTAGTTGGTGGCATATAACTTTACTGTCTTATACTTTAAAAAAAAAAAACATTGTTGTTGCTGTTTTAAAGTAAATTACCTCTAATTTACTTCCCCTCTCTAATTTACTATCCCTCGATAACTAACTTAGGATTAATGCTTTAATTTGAAATGATGTTAATGTTGAATATGTTCTATTATATTCATTTTATTATTACTCATAATAATAATTGTTTATCTTACTAATATTATACAGCTTTTTTTTTAATTCCACGGTCAGAGTCATGGGCCAAATCTAGTATAATTCATAAAAACTTCTAGTTAAAGATTCTTTTTTCATAGAAATCTCTATTTGTATTTTGTCTACAACAAAAGGTATAATAAATGTTTATTTTCAGATAACCCTTTTGCAGTACTTAAGACAGAAACAGTTAAAAGCTGGACGGTATGTATTTTTGTATTATTTCATAATTATACAACAAAACAACTCCTGATAATGAACAAAATGGTATAATATATATAATAAGAAATGCTAAGAAACTTTTTTAGTAGTCATTTTTTGTTTGTACTAATATTATAAATGCAAAAGTTTAGATGGATGGATGTTTGTTAGAGTTTGTAGCCTAAACTGCTGAAGGGATTTCGATGAAATTTTGTATAGATGTAGAGGACAGACTAGTAGAACACTCACTCTTGTTTTTTTTTTGTATTCCACGCGGACGGAGTCTCGGGCAAAAGCTAGTATAAAAAAATTAGTTCAATAGATTTTTTAGTTGTTCCTCACACTGGACACTGTCGAATTATGGGTTAATAATCGAGATATCGATTTATTAAGTCTATTCTAAGAACTCCAATGCATAGGAACCCATTGGTATATTAACTTAATGTTTTAGGAATGTGTTAAAAATAATGATTATTGTGTAAGGAAATATAACAAACTAGCTTTAGCCTATGTGTTCTTCCAGACTACCATCTTACATCTGTGCAAAATTTCATTGAAATCCGTTCAGCTACAGACTACAAACTCTAACAAACATCCATCCATTAGTAAGATGACTGTAAGGTAGGCATCTTATGTAGATGTCTATGGTCAGCAATCACTTTGCTATTTCAGTTAATTAAAATGGCCATTTGCCATATAATATAAAAAAATAGTGTTGGAAAAGATAGTCTTGGATAGCTAAAGAATTTACAGCCTAACTAAGAATATAATGAAATGGATTTGAGTTATTTTTTAATGTATGCTTCGTTTTATATTTTTTAGTATATAGCAAGGATTTTACTGACAAAAAAACTTTACTAATCCAGAATTGTTTCTTTCAGGTAAAAGAATTGACGGAACATCTTGTGAAGTACGAATGGGATGAAACAGTGACAGTGTTACTTGAACATGAAATTGACGGTGAATCTTTATATTTAGTGTCAAAGAACCAATTAGTCAGTATCGGTATAAGTGAAGAGCATGCTGATATTATCTGTGATTTCGTTAAGAGATGAAGTGTTTGGACAAAAGTGTAAAAAATGTAGATAAATTAGTGTTATAAAATGTGCTATGTCAGTGTCTGAAAATATAAGATGTCACCCCTGATATTTTAAAAAGAATAAGTGTAAATTTAAAGGTAATTTTTACCATTGTATTACTTGGAATCAACTTAATGTGTTCATATTTTAACTATAGGTTCTTTAACTATTGCTCAATTAAAATCATGCAATAAGTTTTAACTACCACAAAAAAGATTCAATGCAAGTTAATAAGTAATTTTTTAAAGTAGGTTTCCACTACAATATGTACAACATAACTTTGTGTGCAAAAACAATATTAAACATGCTATGATTATAAAGCACTGAATTTGCTACATGTAAACACTGACCTCTATAAATGGACAGGCTATAAGATGTGGTATCTTGTCTATTTGATTCTTGACACCGATGGATGCAGTTGATTTAAGAGGTTAGGAGTCAAACTAATATTAGACATTGAATAAACTATCAACATTGACAGATTTTGAAGTCGGAATGAAGCAAAAGCTGTCATTTACATTCAATAACCTATCCATTTGTACAGATCAGTGAATATAAAGGACTATGCCCCAATATTCTGTTTGTAGAAGATAGCAAATGTATACTAATTGTAAATAAAAAAAAATGTTAAATAAATAGTTTATACACAGAGTTATTTCTATGTAAAATTACTGTGAGTATAAATTATTTAAAAAACTTGCTGCCTTTTGATATTTGGCGTAAGTTCAATAGAAATGTAATAAATTATTTTTTGGTGCACTATTGTAAAAAGTACTTAAACCTGGATCAGGTACATTTTAAACGTAAATAAACAAGAATTACCATTGACTTCGATTCTCTGGCTCAATATTACACGTCCTTTTGCATTATTGTATTGACTTTTTTCGTATGATCTCAAATACGTTTACGACAATGTGAGTAAAAGTTTAGGTAAAAATTTGCTAAAACAATTTGTTTCAGTATTTCATATTCAATTATTATACAGTTTCTTGAAAACCAGTAACAATTCTATCATTCTAGTATGAATAAAAGCATAACTACAAACTTACTTGTACGGCTTCAAAAATTTGATTTTTTTCAACATTAAAGTTTTTTATAGCAACAAACTACGAATAAAATAAGTAAAAGTATTTTTTTGCCAGCTGTTTCTCAAATACATTAATTCTATATAAATTAGGCTTCAAAGTATCGTTAAATATTTACTAAAATACGTACCAAAACAAAGATCCATGGCAAAGATTAACAATATGCAACATTGACAGTACGCTGTTAGTCTATGGTTAAATTTGTGCCTAACATCTATGGTTTAGTTCTGAACATTTAAAGGATTTCTACAAAAGAACACTTTTTTTTTAAGATTACTGAATATATACGTACTACGTGTATACATAAATATAAATAAATAGTTAGAATATAAATAGATCCTGAGACGTCAATTAACTTGGGTAAAAAACGTCGAAGTTCATTCCAATACTGCCTACCCTAAATTAATGCTATAATGCACAGTCTTAAGTGTTCATTTATAAGGTTTTACAATATTAAAGTTATTCTGTATATTTTTGGTACTTTCATTTATATTCGATTTACTTGTGTTCCAAGCTCGTGGCACTTTTTTTAAGATAATCAGTGACAATCTCAAACAGCACACCGTTTCGTAGTTTTGTAGTGTTCACGAAAATTTACCTCCAATTCATGGAATTAAGTCTTTGTCTAAGATGGTATGACTTTTTATTGGAATTGCGATACCTAGATTGCAATAGAATCAGCAAATAACAAAAATAATATTAGACGATCCAACAGACAAAAAAAACCTAAACTCATTTTTAATTAAAGTTTACAACAAAGATACATAAAGGTTAAAAAAACAATTGTACGTACAAAATAATTGAAGTCATGTATAAAATTACCAGTGATAAAAAAATTGGCCACGGTGGCGCATAATTAGTTCCTCTTTGTTTTTCCCATAAAATTTACGACCTGGGCTAGTGGCGCAAACTTCCCTCGGCGACATCTTTTTTTCAACATCATTTCCGGCACTTCTTCTGATTCGATCATAGACGAATCCATGGTTTTGGAAACTAGCTCCTCGGAAAAATCCTCCGTGTCATTCTTTTCGCTATCAGAAATCTCTCTATATTTTTTGCTGTATTCTGCTTTCGCGCGTGGTGGCACCTTGTCGCGTCTACATTTGGGGTCGTGTACGAATTTAGAATAGTCCGGAGCTTGACACATTAATGTTTCATAAAAAAAACGATCCGCTCTTCCTTCTGCTTTTGCCCTTACTTTACCGTGTTCATCTTCTGAACTTTCGTTCGAAGAGTGAAGAGCTGGTGAACCGGTTAACTTTTTATGAGGTCGTTGACTGCAAATAGTATTTATCTTAGTGTCGGGAATTTTAAGAAATGCCTCGTTTGATTGAAGAAGATATTAGCAGCTTACCATCTCTTGTTATCTCCGACTACCATATTTGGGGGTGCTCGCGGTGATTGCATTGGCGGAAATCCTGGCCTTTCTTCGTCACCAACGCCCTATGAAACAGAAGAAGTTCTATGTGACGCGCTACATTTACGATTGTAGAAGCAATGACAAATTAATAGAGAACCTTTTATTTTCTGTAATATTACAACTTACTTTATACCCGAAATGGAAGTAACAATGTGAAATTTTCTCTACATCAGCCCAGGCGACGATGTAGCGCGCCATGCTCAGCGGGATTTTCGGCAAGAAGTTAGAATGAAATTTGCCCTGACAATAGATTGTAATCACATCTGTGTCCTTCACTTCGAAGACTATCCTAAATATCGTACCTGAATGTAGATAATTATTAAATTCTATAGCTTTTTAAATAAATATCAATGCTTTAAAATCAAAATTGGTTACGAACTAACCAGGTACAAACATATTATAGTTAGTGTCGTAGTTGCCGCTGCCTATCCAGATACCGTTTTTCCTTGACAGAGAAATAATATTGTCGCGATGGAATCTCACATCGAAATGCAGCACCACGTCCCTTGGTTCCTCGCCTTCTTGAGCGCAGAGATTAACCGACATCCTAAAGATAAAATGCTTATGTTAGTTAAAAAATGACTAGGTGTGTTCTCTTCTCCGAAACTTATGAGATGACCAAAAAAAACCTGACTGTTTTGTTAAGATTTACATGCAAAGTGCAGTCATAAGTCATATGGTGTTATAACGGGACGTTTAACAATTCCGTCGTGTTGAGTTACTTGAGACTTTGTTGTAACATTGTTAAAGTACATGACTTCTATATTGCGACGTATGGAACATATTTCGTTTATGGTATGATAGGCCCACAGTCTATCATAATTAGCTCTTCTTAGCTTGGTAACTTTCAGTTTTACTTACTTTCGGGCGTTGTCCTTAATTTTTCCACCAATTTCAATTTTGTCGCCAACTTTAAGCAAAGCGGGAATATTAGCCGTAAAGACAGGCATTTTACGCTAGGATTTGCACCGTTACAATAATATTTCACAGCAGTTCTATCCAGGTTAGTGTAAATAATATCTTTTGACATTTTGAACAAATAATTTAAACATAACAGCGATGTTTATGTCTTTTGTATAATTTATTAATCAATAAATATTGATACCGAATGTGTAAAAATGTGACACATGCCACAAATCGTATTAAAAACTCTGAAAAAATATTTCCTTTAAACTATTTACATTGTGAAATAAATACAATAGAAAAAATCTCTTGCCGGTTGAAAATACGAGTTGAAAAATATATGTAAAGAAAATGGCAGCCTATTACTTAACGTTATTATATTAATGATTTTGAAAGAAGTTATCAAAAATTAGAATAAAAGTTGGCAGAATTATTATGAAATGTGTCAACTTTATTTAAATGTCAAAGTCAAAGAGGTCACCTACTTATCAAACATAACCTAAAAATATAAACTGATACTGACACGGTGCGATTTAACAGTGCAAATATTGCAATTAACTTATAAATAATTTATATAAACGTAAGATTCTAAAGGTAAGACGTATGTTAAGTATTCTGTAAAATTGTTAACCAAAGTTTATGTGTCGCGCATTCCCGGATGTTTTTTCGGTTTTCTTTTAAACGTAAAATATGTGTATTTAAACTATTTTTCTATCTTAAAATTTCGAGTAAAAAAAATACTCTGTAATTTATTAAGAATAATCAAATTGAATAATAATGCAATTTATAAGTAAAATTATGTTTGTAAAAGTTCATTCGTAATTCAATATAACATTTAAATTTTAATCACATTTATACATACTACAACCATTGGTAAAACAGATACATAAGTCTATATATCTACATAATAAATACTTGTTTGTATTGCAAATTGAGTATAGAGATAATGAGGAACTGTTCTATTTATAAATGTTAACTAATTAACAACCATACATATGTAAATTAACCTATATACAACAATTCAGTCATATACTATGCAAGTTTATATCCTCTACACATACAAGCATTTTTGTGAAATCAAAGAGCATAGTTACATTGTGTTAACATAAATAGCCAAACCAGGAAAAAAGATAACCTAGAGCTCATCAATCTCAAAAATCATTAAGTATGCAAAGATATTCCTATATTTTAAACTACATTGTAATGTGTATTTCTGGTCAGACTACACAGCATATCAAATACTGACCTGATATTATGTTTATATTTTGATAAGTGTAATATAAACTGTTTTCAAATGATAAGATATGTATTTATTTATAACTTTTATGTTGGATTGGTATAAAATTGCTTGCGAAATTTTTTCTAGTAATAACTTATGAAATATATTATGAAAATAATAACAAATATTGTTTAGGCCCATTATTCAGAGGCATTTAATGTAGTTTTACTTTTAAATACAACTAAGGGACTGATTTAGTAGGTGTTTAATAACTCTGAGAGTGGGAAACAAGTAATTAAAGATATTATTTCTCTCTAGTGTTACAATATGGTAGTGTCAGAAGAAACACAGCCCACTGTGGAAGGAGATGCAGCAATAAGTAAGAAAGCTGCAAAGAAAGCTGCCAAAGCTGCGGAGAAACAACAAAAGAAAACTGAGCATAAGGTACTTTAAATACTCACATTTTAAATAAAGCTAAGATAAAAATTACAAAGATATGTATAATTTTAAATAAACAAAAGTGTTATGTCTAAGTTATATGTTCTTTCAGGCTATGCCTCGCGCTATTTCATCTATGCTATGCGAAATTTCATCGAAATCCGTTCAGCCATTAAGCCACAAACAAACATGCATCAAAATTTCCACATTTAAAATATCAGTGATAAGATTTATCTCATTAGTAAGAAAAAGTAAGCAAAGTGTAGGCCAAAGAAAAATGTCCTGGCTCCAAAACCTACGAAAGTGGTTCGGAATGTTTAGACTATGGTGTCAAGAATGCAAGTTGCCCTAATGATGCACCGAACTTTGAAAGAAGATGGCACTTTAAGAAGAAGTAACATAATATCTGTTATATCGTAGTTTTGCTAATAAGTCAATTTATCTCCAGGCAGCATCAGTACAGCAACCAACAGAGGCACCAGAGACTGACTGCTCGGAGGGAAAGTATGGGGTCTGCAAACTGATCCAGTCAACGGGAGAGCACCGAGATAGAGTGTACATTGATGTGGTGGACCTTGGAGTGGAGTTGGATGGACAGGATGTATGGGTTAGAGGTGAGAACTTCGAAGACTAGCTTTTGCATGTGACTTTGTTCGTACATAATTAAAAAGAAATTTTAGTAATAGATATGGCCTTTGATAATTATAATGTGGCTTCTAATGACAGAAATAATTTTGAATATTGTATTATCTGTGGTTAACATGAAAATACAAATATTTTGTCTTGTCTACTATGGAATGTTATAATATTGCCTTAGTTTTTTTTTATTTGAATGTGTTTTTTATGTTTTATTTGCTATGTTTCCAGCCCGACTGCACACGTCGCGTGCTAAAGGTAAGCAGTGCTTTGCTGTGCTGCGCCAGAACTCCAGCACGGTGCAGCTGCTGGTCAGCGTCAGTGAGGAGAGGAATGTCAGCAAGCAGATGGTGAAGTTTGTTGGCAGGTCAGTGTACATCTACCTATACTAACATAATAAAGCGTAAACACACTACTTTGCTAGGTTGTCATAAATTACAGTGTATTTATAAAAAAAATTTTTTTATAAAAAGCCCTTTACTCAAGACACGCTTTAGGCTGTATATTTACGCTATTAAACTTGGTAGTAAATAATTAGGGAAAAATCATAATGCGGGAAAGGGACAACAACTACAAGCTGACAACATCAAAGAAGCAAGGTTGCTGGTAACGGTAATTGTTATCCAATGTCAAAGACTTTCATTGTCATCTGTGCATTTAAATTTTGTTTTTAATTTTCATTTTTAATTGTATATTTCATAAAAGGGAATATGCCTGTGTTTTTTTTAAACGATTCTACTTGTTATAAAAAAAAACAGAAAAAAAATTACTCGAAAGTATTCAACCATTGAGCTAGAAATAATAAAATAAAATTACGTCCATTTTCGTATGAATAAAACGCGACAGAAGTTGGCATGAGACACGTGACGTCAATCGTCATTGTAATTATTAAATTTTGCCACTAAATCACATTGCAAGAAAAAATTTTTATAATGATGCGGATGAAGTCACACGGGAACAGCTAGGATAAACCAGAATGTATGGTACTGTCCAGTATAACGAAGGAGTCGATAGTGGATGTGCGGGGCCGCGTGGTGAAGACCAGCTCCCCCGTGGAGGCGTGCAGCGTGCGCGCGGTGGAGCTGGTGGCGGAGCAGGTGTGGCAGGTGTCGGCGGCGCGCGCGCAGCTGCCGCTGCAGATAGAGGATGCATCCAGACCGGAGAAGAGTGATGTGAGTACTGCTCTAGGTCTACTGCTCCTATAATTCTAACATGACTTTGATTTACCTTAGATATGTTTAAACGATTTTTGATAAAACTACTAATGCTATGTTTTTGTTTACTTTTCTAGTTAGGTTTGTTTAATAAAAGCAAAAAATGTCTAGTGTTTTAGAAAATAACATAATAGTATCAACATTGTTGTACTTAGGTACTCAGTCTACCGATTACTGCTAGGAATCGCGCTTATCTATACTTCTATGTTGATATTTTAAAGAGGAAAGTTTTGTATTTTTGTATTTTTGCATGTATTCAATTCATGTAAAAAATATTAGGTCGATTTAAAAAAAATCTTTCATCTTTAGAAAGGTATTTTATCTGTGTGTAACATAAGTTATGTTATTTTAACACGGACAAAGTCGCGAGCAACAGCCAGTCTATACTAATATTACAAAGAGGAAAGATTTGTATTTTTGTATACATTGAAATAACTCAAAAACTACTGAGCCGATTTTAAAAAGTCTCACCATTAAAAAGCTATGCTACCAATTGCAATGTTCTTTCACAATTAAAATCTTTACTGTACTTTATCTCTAAGTAACATAGGCTATATTTTTTACTATTTTCTAATTTCACGTGGGTGAAGTCACGAGCAATAGCTAGTATATTTTTTTTTTTGATTTAGGACCCTGAGGCGTTGAAGATTCGTGTGAACCAGGACACACGTTTGGACAACCGTATCCTGGACCTCCGCACTCCGGCTAACCAGGCCATCTTCCGCGTGGAGGCTGGCGTCTGCAGACTCTTCAGGGATATCCTCACCAGGAAAGGTATGTCTTCATTGACCTTGATTACTCAAACCTTGGTAACTTAAAAACCTCTCTAACTTTAAAAAAAATTATGTTCCCTTCCCATCAGAGCCCAAAACCTCTATAACATAGACCTTTGATAACTTAAAACCTCTATAACTTAAATTATTTTGTATGTTCCTTTGGACTTTAACTTATCTGATGTTAATTAATATCTATTTACTATTTAAGGCATTTTTTTCTATTTACCTGATAATCTAATTGTGATATTTATCTTCACAAGGCGTTGATATAGCGGCCACCTGAATCCGCCGAAATGGCGAAGCGTTGCCATTCAAAGACATTCGCAATAGCGTTGCGTTGCCTACTCTTAATCTCTACAAAGTGTTTGTAATATCAAAAAAAAATCCAGATTTCGGGAGAACTGTGTATTTGCGTTGCTAGTAACGAAAATCGCATTTAATTTTTTTTGTCT